CGGTCAAGGGCATGTACCTTGGTTGGAGGCACACCCCCAGTAGAGGGTGTGCAAGAGGCAGCTGATTGATGATTCTCTCTCATCGATGTTTCTAACTCTCTATTCTTCTCTCTTCCTCTCTGTAAAAAAACAATAAAATATATATATTTTAAAAAAATCTATTTTCGAATTGCCCCTTCCCAAGGTCTCTGCCACTGCCCCTCCCTCCCTGAGCCTCCCTGAACCTCCCTGTACCATGCGTAATAGCCACATGGCAGGTGCCAGGCACCTAAAACCCATCACACTGAGAGCCCAACATTCATCATCCCGCTTCACCCACGAGGAAGGTTCTCTGGTTACCCCACTTCAGGGCAGGTGGGTTTGGCACAGCGCCCCTCCCTCGGCCATCTCATTCAGCCCCAGGGCCTTGTGTATCATTCACTCTGAGGGCTCCCACACGTCCCCCTCAAACCCGACCCGAAGTTCCTACACCCAACGGCCCTCTGAGAATTCCCACTGGGATGTCCACTGGGGACCACACATAAAATTGATCCCAGATGGAACTCCTGACCTTCACTGCCGCAGCCTGTGCCCACCTCCTCCCCATCTCAGGTCACGGCAATGCCATCCTCCTGGCTGTTAGGTAAAAAACAAACAAACAAACAAACAAACAAAAAAGCACAGGCATCATCCTTGATTCCTCCAAGCCCTCACAGCCTGTATGCACACCAGCCTTGCTCCGCTGGTTGCAGGGTGAGTGTCCTGAGGTCACAGAGGTGGAGGACAGCCCTCTGGGAGCACAGGATGTTTCTCTTCCCTCAGGCCTCAGAAACCACTCACACCCCCACGGAGAAGAAAGGCAAGGTGGGACAGGGTCTCCACACCTTCGCCCTGTCCCCTCCCCAGGGAGAGTCCACTCGGGGACCCAAGGCAGCAGAACCCTAATGGAGGGGCCCTGGGAAGAGGGAGAAGCAGAGAAATCAAAGGGGAGGACAAAACAGGCGGCGAGAAGACAGCTGCAGCCTGGAAGCACCCACTTAGGGGAGAGCCCCCGTGGGGTGAGCAGGCTGCAGGACCAGCTGCCCGACACGGGGCTCCCCAGTGCCCACCGGAGCTGCACATCTGACAGGCCCTGTGCTTCCCGGGGTGTCGAACCCCAAGCTGGCTGGCCAAGGAGCTCTGAGGCAGATGGCATGATTCTGGGTCTCCCCGGCAGCATCCGGTGGCCTTGCTGCAGGTGACCCAAGGCCACCTACTGGATTGGGACCCTGCGTCCCAACCTCTTGGCAGGAGCGGGAGAGGCCTGCTTCCTTCCCTCTGCAGAGCGCGGTGTGCAGGCAGAGGGGGGAAAGGCTTTAGCTCAGAAGCTGGGCCTCAGATTCCAGTCCCACCGCCGTCTCTCATTGGCTGTGTGACCTCAGAGAGTTAGTCACCATCTCAGAGTTCCCACCTTTAAGACGAGCGGTGGAGATGAGGTAACCCCTGTGTTCCTCCAGGACAGGACTGCGACTGTTTATTGTTTCCTGTGGTCCCTGAATGAACGGAGAGGAGGGAGAGCGCACTGAGCGATTGTCTCCATCATAACACATTCCTGTAGGTGTGTGTGTGTGTGTGTGTGTGTGTGTGTGTGTTATTTGAACCAGATGTTCTCATTCCATGTGCACAGTTATAAACGGCCCCCATTGTCCTGCGGCTGGGGACACGGAGCAGAGATTACACACAGATGCCAAATGTTCCGAAGGCTCCGTTAAACCTGGAGCTCGAGGGGCCGGAACACAACCCTCCCGGCCAAAGTGACGCTCGTTCCGAGTCCTGCTTCCTGAAAGCGTCCCTGAGCCTTCGAGGAGGGATGGTGTCCCGAGTTGTGAGTCTGTCCCAGCCCCCTCATGAGAACAGATGAGCCTCAAGGCCAAAGCTGGGGGGCGTGAGGAGGAGCTGTGTGGGAGTCAGGCTGGCTCCGGCGGCGAGGAGATGGCTATATCTGCAGATAGCGTCCAGGTGGCGGGGAGGTGGGAGGCGCCAGGTTTTCAAAGCTTCCCAGGAAGCTGCTGGAACCCGTGCACTCCCCAGCCTCGGCTGCGTCTGGCCTGGATGAGTGCCTCCCCAGTACAGGGGGTTCTACCGAGCTCACTGCAGGTGAAGAGGGGCTCACTGCCCTGAAGCCTCCGGAGCAGCATGCAGAGGCCTCCAGATTGGCCTGCCAGTGAGGAACAGAGCAGTGACAGTGACGTGCTGGCGGGAGAGTGGGCCCAGCAGGAGTGAGAGCCAGGCTGTGCCCACAATACGATGGACCCGGGTCTAGTTAGGCTCTGACTTGCCAGGGAACTTGAGCCCATCACCTGGTTCTCTCTGGAGGTGGCTCAGGTGCTCATTTGGGCAGGGGCAGGAGGAAGGTATCTGCCTGCTTCCTGCCAGCCATGTCCCAAGGGCCCTGGCAGAAGACTCATAAGCAGCGGAGGTGCTCACCGCACCACAGAATAGAGCAGGGCTAAGGGGGCGGGGAGGGGGGCGTCCTGTTGGGTTCAGAGGCTGAGGGCAGAATGGGGAGTCCGCCTGAAGAGAGACTCTTAGAGGCCAGGCTGCTCACAGACTTCCTGTCCCCACCCCCCAGGCCAGGGGTCTCCCTGGCCCTCTTCCCTCACCGACACCTGGTTTGCATCCAGAAGCCGGGCGAGGAGGGCAGCTCCTCCTGCAGACTCCCCTCTCCCAATTACCAGGCTTTACAGCTTCCCCAGTCTTCCAACGAGCTTTGCTCCCATCTCCTCGCCCCTCCTCCAGGGGAGCAGGGAAGGCGTTATTCTCCCAACTCTGCAGCCACAGGGAAGGGACCCTGCAGACCACAGCCAGGCCCTCCCTTGGTGCAGGCAAACAATGAGGCCGGGACAGGAGAGAAGCCTGTTGCCCTGGGCCACACAGGTAACGACTAGCAGAGCCAGGGCACCAAGCGAACAAGCTAACACCCTATTTGACCCAGGGTGTCCAAACCCTTAGGACCCCCCCCTCCCCGCTCCCCCCCACCCAGGAAGCTGCCATTTAAAACAAATCCCCTTGCCCTGACCAGTTTGGCTCCATGGCTAGAGCCTCAGCCTGTAGGCTGGAGGGAACCGGGTTTGATTCCGGTCAAGGGCATGTACCTTGGTTGCGGGCACATCCCCAGTGTGGGGGGTGCAGGAGGCAACTGATCGATCTTTCCCTCTCATCGATGTTTCTAACTCCCTCTCCCTTCCTCTCTGTAAAAAAAAAAAAAAAAAAAAAAAAAAAAAAAAATCAATAAAATACATTTAAAACAAATCCCCTTAAGATTTTCATTTCCCTCAACATCTGTCTGTTCCTCTTGAAAGTCAAGTGAAGATTAGTTAAAAGGGGGAAAAGAAAAGAAAGAAAAGAAAAGAAAAGAAAAGAAAAGAAAAGAAAAGAAAAGAAAAAGATTGTGCCTGGATGCTGACCTGCTTCCTCCTCCAGGGCGTGTGGGGGAGGAGCCTGGGGAGGGAGTGAGGGATGTGGCCGCAGCTGGCCTTCAGTTCCTGCGGCGTCTTTCAGCCACATGGCCAGGGGTGACGACCCCTGTCCTTCTCCTTTTCCATCTCCCTCTCCAGCCCCGGCCTGTGGTTATTGATGACCGCACTCCTCCTCTGTGACCCACAAGAACCCTCTTCAGCAAGGATCCATTTAATCACAATTGGAGGGCAGAGAGAGCCGACTGACACTTTTTTAATAACTAGCAGCCACGAGGAAGACCGAAACAAATTGAGTTTTGCCAACAGATCTCTCCATTACCCAGAAAACTGTATTACCCCGCATCCCCTACTCCCTGAGCTTTCTGCTTAATAAAGTACCGACTGCAACATGCATTCCCAAAGCCTGGTCTCCGAGGAATGGAAGGGGGAAAACCCAAATAATTCAGACATGCAAGAGAGCTTGTGAAGTTTTATTTCCTCAGATAGGTTTTGGAGGACTGCTGGGGGAAAAAAAACACACAACCAAATTAATTAAGCAAGTAACAGGCAGAGGTCCAGCCTAAAGCAACAGTTTTGCACCTGAGCCATATGAATGTTCAGTGTGGAAAGGTTTATCACGGAAAACCCGGCAGCGCCAGCAGTTCAGACAGGTGCCGCTGTCATCCCATGGTGTGCGCCAGACCTGGGTAGCAGCTGGGTCTTGGTTCCCAGCAAGGAGAGTGTGTCCTTGTTGTCTGATCCAACTGAGAAATTCTTCTTCCACTTTGTAACTTAAACTCTTTAAAAAAATAATAATAATTTTATCGATTTTTTTACAGAGAGGAAGGGAGAGGGATAGAGAGCTAGAAACATCAATGAGAGAGAATCATTGATCAGCTGCCTCCTGCACAACCCCCACTGGGGATGTGCCCACAACCAAGGTACATGCCCTTGACCAGAATCAAACCCAGACCCTTCAGTCCGCAGGCCGAAGCTCTGTCCCTTGAGCCAAACCAGTTTCAGCAGTAACTTAAAATCTTTAATAGCCCACTCCTTTCCTTCTTCTCTCCCCATCCCTGCCCCCAAAATTAGCCATATGTGTGAATGGACTTCGTCACAGACTCCTCATATCAGCACCATCTCAGGGATATTAATGTCTGCCTTTTGTACTAACCATCTTGAGTTCAGTCTTCCTCCCCTTAGGATCTTGAACATTCAATGGCTCCCTGCTGCCTGCAGGAGAAAGCTTAGACTTCTTTGTATAACACTTCAGTCCTCTGAATTGAGACCCAAATTATCTTTCCATCTTCCTCTCCAGCAACTCCACTTCATATACCATCTGCTCCAGCCTGGCTACCTTGGCTTTCACCGTGGCTACCTTCCCACCGATTTATTCAAACTCTCCCCAAAACCTATGTGAACCAGAGAAAAAGAGATTTAAGCTCAGTGAAATCTTCCCTTTCCTTCCCCCAGCCATAGTGATGCTTCCTTGTCCTGCCTGCAATAAACACTCTAGGGCTCTTCCTTTCTTCCTTTCCTTTTTGTTTGTTTGTTGGTTTGTTTTGGTTGTTAGTTTGTTTTTAGAGAGAGTGGAAGAGAGAAGGAAAGACAGAGAAGTACCGATATGAGAGAAACCCATCAATTAGTTACGTCCTGTATTAGCCCTGACCAGGGCCCGGGCCAGGGAGGAGCCTGAACTGAGGAATGTGCCCTTGATTGGAATCGAACCCGGGACCTTTCGGTCCCCAGGCTGATGCTCTATTCACTGATTCAAACTGGCTAGGGCTGGGGCACTTTCTTGACCTTCTTTACAAAGTATGACTAATTTAATTCATCCCCTGCATATATCTTCTTTTTTCAACCATATAGTAAAAATGAATTTTATGAATGAATGAATGAATGAATGAATGAATGAATTTGCAATTAGCCCTCCACAAATACTCACTGGCAAGGCAGGAACACAATGATTTGCTCAAGGGGTCTGCAGTTCCGTGTTCTATCTGCAAGAAGGCAAACTGCCATGACCGTCCATTAGAAGCCTAAAGGTTAGCTCCTCTCAGTGACCAGCTTCATGAGGGGTTGTTAGCACATCAAAGCGGTGTTTACTGAACCTGGGAAAGTGTCAGATCGTGCCTGGGTTCCTCAGGCTCCTCCAGAGCTAGGTGATAACATCTGCTTTCTTTTCCAGAGAAAAATAGTTTCCTTTCCCTGAACACACAATATCTTTGTTCCTTCTGTTGACTAAGATGTCAAACTGCCTTGAGTTATTTAAAGAGACAGAACCCTTCTTTGTTCCTCCGGGATATTCCCCTTGGATTTCTTTCACTGACAATAAACAGATTCACCATTTTAAGATTATTTGTTTGCTTTTCCGAGGGCACCACTCTATCCATCTACACTCTGCTTTCTGGTGGCTATCTTTGCATGATACCACACTTCTTTAAGGCTGACATGGGAAGACCCCAAGCTTCATGTCCCTTTCCCGGAGGAAACCCCCCCCCCCCCCCACACACACACATCAAACACCACCTTCCCCCTCTCCCTCCTTTTTAAAGGGCTTATGACTCCATCTTGCAAATATGCCATCTAGGCCCCAAAAGTTGGAACCGAAGGATGTGGCCACTTTGCTGAAGTCAGTCAGATAAATGGGGCTGCCCTGGTTACCGCAGAGACAAAAGCATACTTCCCAGGATAATGGGGGCCAGATCTGGGAGCTCAGGCTCTCGCCTCTTCCCCCTTCCCGAGGCCTCTCACTTTCTGTTCAAACAGGAGTGGAAGAAGAATCGTTTCCAGAGCTGACTCCTGACTTCGGGGGCCTCGCGGGGGAGCACAGGGGAGGGAACACTAATCGAAGCCACGGCTGGTCCATTGGGTGGGACCCTGGGCTGGGGCTGCGGGCCCAGGCTCAGGCCCTGACTCAACCAGCTGTTCAGTGACCGTGAGCAAACCTCCTTCTCCTCTCTGGGCCTCAGTTTCTCTTGAGATAGAATGGGTTTCATTAATTGTCTTGGTTTGGGTTTCCCCAAAAGCTGACCTTGAGTCAAGGATTCGAATGTGAGTACAGTCATCCCTTGGTACCCTTAGGGGATTGGTGCCAGGGCCCAGGGCTACCTAATCTGGGGGTGCTCAAGTCCCTTATAGAAAAGGCATAACATTTGTATGTCAACAAAATCCCTTGGCTCCTTCCCGGTGATGCTAGACTTCTGGACTGTCTCCAGAGGCTGATACCAGTGTCCATCTCTACTCACAAAGACAAGTTTACCCACTGGCCAGAGTCTGTTCTCACAGACTCCATCCCACCTTCCTCTCCCATTGCACCCAGGATGTTGACCCCACCCTCCCCATCCAGCTTCCAAAGCTTCTCACAGTCAGGTTCCAAGACCCGTATCCTGTGCTTTCTACCACAGCCCTCACTGCTGTCAGGCTTTCTCCCTCCCTGCATAGGCCCCTCCCACAGACCCCTCTAGAGCAGGGGTGGGGAACCTTTTCTGCCGAGGGCCATTTGGATATACATAACATCATTCTTGGGCCATACAAAACTACCAACTTAAAAATTAGCCTGATGTATTTGGTCAAACAATTCATTAACTGACCCCTCATGCCTCGACAGGGCCAGACCAAATGATTTTGAGGGCCTTATATGGCCTAAAGGGGCCGGATGTTCCCCATCGCTACCTCAGAGTATCTTTCATCTAATTGAATTCAAAGCCCAACCAAATCTACCCTCCTCCGGGAAGTGCTTCCTGACCATCTGAGGGTTAGAAATAGCCTTCTTCTCTGATACCCTTGGCACTCATTTACCCTATCGCCCAGGGCAGTGGCACTTCTAAGGCACAGCCTAGACTCTATCAAGGGAAGGCATCATTATTTGTTTAAATATGTTTTTATTGACTTTTGAGAGAGAGGAAGGGAGATGGAGAGAGAGAAACATCAACGTGAGAGAGGAGCATTGAGGTCAAACCTGCAACCTGAGCGTGTACCCTGACCGGGAATCGAACCTGTGGCGACCTTTCTGACGATGCCCAACCAAGGGAGCCACACCTACCAGGACAAGGGCATCATTCTTTATGCCACTTTGCTATTTATCTTCCAGTGCCTAGCAAGTGTCCTAGAGAAACGAAATGTCGACAGGAAGAGTGAATCAATTAATTTGGTTCAGCAAGTACCGATGGAGCAACTCAGCATACAGACACTATACAAGGCGCCGTGAGGTAACTCAGAGATAAATAAGACTCCCATGGTGGCTGTGTAGGAGTTAAGGATCAAAGTTGTCCTAGGTATAAAAAGCTAAAGTTTGTAAGAATGGCTCCTGGAGATCTCCACGTTCAAATCTCTTCCTTTGCAGAAATTGCCTTGCCTAAGGTCACGCAGCCAACAAGCAGTTTCACATGTATTTGTTCACAAACAGAGGGCTCTAGACTTTCTTATCATCTGTGCGAGTTCAGAGACAACCTTCTTCCTCGCTTTGTCTTTTGTTCCACTTTAGAGAAAAAGGAAATCTTAACAGCTTCTCTCCCTGACAAGAGGGGCAAAGGATAAAAATACCGGTTACATAACAGTCATTTGCCTTAGTCATGCCGCCCTGCGGAGTGCCGTTGGTACAGAAGGATGATTGAGTTAAACACTGAATACTTGTTCCCCTGCGGTCACCCTCATTGCTTCTGCCGCTGTAATTGATTTGACAGGTTATTTTTACTCAAAATGAGCTGGGCTCCTCGGCTGGCTGGCAGATTCGCTATTGTTCCCGGAGTCCAGGCTGGCGACGGCCCAGATGCCCAGATGTGCGGGCGCGAGGCTGAGGGGGGGGGTGGGGTGGGGGGGGCGCCCAACCTGGGAGAACCGAGCTCGCACTGGGCAAGGGTGAGTGTGCTTAGGGGGTGGCCAAAGAGAAAGGGACAGAGATGTCCAGTAGAATGCTTCAAGAGATCCAATCGGGAAGGAGCTAGAAAGAATGTAACCCGGTGTGTAACTATGGTGAGGACTTTATCCGGAGGGCAGAAGGAGCCTGGCCGGGCTTGGAGAGAGGAGTCGGGGAGAACTTTTTGCCTCTAGGGCCTTCTGTACTGTTTTTGTCTTTTCCAAGCAGCCACGGAAGTCTTCCCACCCCTGCAAACTGCTCCCCAGAGCAGACTAATAGATCCACGTTCCCTGGGAGCCTGCAGCACCGGCCACCTACACACTCTTCCCCGTCTCTGCACGTGGCTCAGTGCCTCCCCGAGCTCAGGCTGGGAGGGGAGAGTGTGTTGGCAAATGCCCAGAGACCCATGGGAGGTCTCCAGAGGTGAGAGGTGACCCTTGAGGGGGCTGGCATCCTGCCAAGACTCAGGCTGTGGGCAGGGCCATTTCGGTGGTCATGTGAGATCTTGTATAGCATCTAACCTTTGAACCTCAGAGTCCTAATCATCTGTCAACATGAGGTCACCCTCGTCTCTCCCATCCCTCACGAGGCTGCGATAAGAGTCATTCCAAGAAATGATTACTGAGCACATACAACACGCCAAGCTGGGACTAAGTTAAGGTGACCAGATCGTCCAGGTGTTGGCGGGAAAGTCCTGATTTCTAACAATTTTTCCCGAGTCCCGCGGCGTTATTAAAAAGTCCCGATTTTTGGAAAGAATCTTTCCAATGTTTCCAATCTTTCCAAAAATGGGGACTTTTTTAAAACTCCCCGGGGCTCGGGAAAAATTGTTAGAAATCAGGACTTTCCCGCCAACACCTGGACGATCTGGTCACCTTAGGCTAAGGGCTTCTGCCCACGATCGCCTGTCACCTTCACAATGCCACGGAGAGATGCCCTTGGTGCTATGAGTCCTTACAGACCGTGAACTGGGTCCAGAGGAGTTAGATCACTCCTCTGTGGGCACAAAGCTAGTGAATGGTGGCGCTCAGGCAGGTCGGCCCTGCCCTCAGCTCTTCACACCGCCACGCTCCCTCCAGTACCACGTGCCAGGAGAAGGATTTGCAGCCCCTGCCTGTACACGTGCTGAGGGGCATAGGCTGAGAGAAGGGCACCACGGCCAGAGGAGTGGGATGCTGAGGAAAGAACACGTGGAAAATGCAGCCCCACCACTTGCTAGTCTTATAACTTCCGGGGCATCCCACCATCTCATCTGGAAAATGGGAATAACAATCTATCTCACACAGTCCCCGCCCTTTCCCTCCCCCCGCCTCACAGCCCCCTCCAGAATCTAAGACAGCCCAGGTAAAGCCCCTAGCATGGGGCCTGGTATACAGTAAGCACTCAGCAAGTGACAGCTCCTCTCCTCCTTACTTACCCAGAAAGCTGAGCTAATCTGACATCCACTTCCCCCCAATGCCCGGCATGGGGCTGGCTGGGTGTTTCCTCTGTTATATTTTGAACAACGGCCCAGGGGTGTGACTCCACAGTGGCCCAACCAAGTCCTGCTCAGCATCCCGCATCCAGGACGAGGAGGCCCACCTGGGAGCGGGCTGAGGAGGTGAGGTCACAGCCTCTGACAGCAATTCGGAAGTTGGAGAGGCCTGCCAGCCCCTGCCAGCCCCTGCCAGCCCCTGCCAGCCCCTGCCAGCCCCTGCCAGTCAGGAGCAGTTGTTTCATGGTCAGGCTGGCATCTCAGGCAGGAATGCTCAGCGGATGACAGCGAGGCGAGTGCACATTCCAGAGGCTGAGGCAACGTTGTGCAGGGCCATCACCCCCCACCCCCCACCCCATGCCCACCCCGGCAGCTCCGGCCTCAAGCAAGGCCTTCCTGGGAGTGGGAGGCGCTGCTTGGGCTGGGGGCTGGGCCAGGATGACCCGGAAGCAGGGCCTCGCAGGGCCCCGGGGAAAGAGTGGGTGCGCTGGTATGTGCAGGCACTTTCACACAGATGTCACCATTTTATGGGTCCAGCTGGATCCAGCATGCAAACAGAAGTCAGCTTCACTTCTCCCCCCCCCCCACCCCCACCCCGTCTTCTCTGGACGGCGCTTTCTCCCCATCCCCAAATAAAACCGCAGGCCGGCCTGCAGCCCTCCTGGGTCTTTTCCATCTTCAAGACAATCTCACTTCATAAAACAGAAAGTCTAATCTAGTTTCATATCAAAACGCCAGGCTTTGATCGAATTAAGCCCTGTCCCACGGGCCTGCTCTAGGGTTCATGGCTGCTACTCGCCTTTTCTTCACTCCCCTCCCTCCCCTCCCCTCCCCTGGCTGCTTTGGCCCCTGCCGAGCAGGCGCAGGGTGGAGGAGACATAAGGGGCAAGATAGGTCACCCTTGCCTGCCTGTGTGTGTGTGTGTGTGTGGGGGGGGTCCCCTGGAGCTCACTGTCTCTCCCCTCTGCTCCTCACTCCCCCTCGGCCTGGGCTGCCAGCTGACCGCTGCTCTGCCAGAGTCCCGCCCTCTGCCCGGTGTCCTCTGTAGAGGGCGGCGGACACCCTTTACATTGTCAGCTGAGCCGGAAGGCTGGGGGTATTCAGCTTCTGACTTACCTTTGTCCAAGTGTCAGCAGGGGCGGGTCTAGGTATGTAAATCCAGTAATGCTAGGGCCTAGTTAAGAATGCAAATAAGCTCCCTTTGATCTTATAAAATAAACCTGCTGCGGGGGGGCTCGGGTGCCTGCTGCCTCTCCATCAGAGAGATGGCGCCCACCTAGCGCCCAGCTTGATGAATCTATTTCTGCCCTCCTGGTCTCTTCCCCCCTCCTCCCACCCCCCAATATTTCTTAATCCCCAGCTCCTCCACTCGGGAACCTGTCGTTTTCCGTGATGGACACGGAACACAGCAACAGCCCCCACAGTCCTCTGCGTGGGAGCCTGTTGAGGAAACCTCAATCAGGCTGCCTTGGACGAAAAACTGTGGGGTGCTCCCCACCCTCTGAACAGCACCCCTCTCCTTGCTCCAGCCAGTCCCCCTAACCCCTCACCTTTCATGACCCAGACACAGCCAGACGTCAGTCCCTGTCCTCCACGCCAGGGGGCTCCATACCAATCCAGCCCCCCGAGGGCCCTCTGGATGCCCCTCCTCCCTTCCCCAGCGTGTCAGGGAGCACGGGACACCCCGCAGCAGCTCTCCTCTGAGGCCCTCTCACCACTGTCCTCTTTCAGTTCCACTCGGTTGTCCTGCAAGTGCCGGCAGAGTGTTCCGCCATCTCTCGGCTTATCACACGCACACGGCCCAGGCCCTCTATGACATGGAGATCCTGGGCACCCACTGTATTGTTTCCGGCGTTTGGTGTTTGGGGTGTCTGCTGAGATAAGTCAGCGAGCACCCTATTATCGTGTCTTTTTAGGAGAGTGTCTAATGCAACTCCTGTTACGGGGTCCATTGCTTCAGCCACCCCATGAGGCAGCTTAGCTAAAGGTTTCATAGAAACTCTCATTGATAAATAGAGGAACTAAGACTCAGCAGAGTGAAGGGACCACTCCCAGGATCGCAGAGCTTGACGGTAGCGAAGTTAGGATTTGAACTCACAGTCACCTGCGTCCACCACGCCGGGCTGTTTCTCTCCCCACTGCCCGGCCTGAGCTGAACCCCTGCTCTGGCCACAGCCTCTTTCTCTCTGCGCCCCGAGCAGCTTTGTGCTTCCTCCCTGGCCAGTCTGTTCTCCTGGAAGGACCCCCACCCCAGTTCTGTACTTTAAGGTCCCATGAAAAAGCTCACCTTCTCCACGAAGCGGTTCAAGGCGATCTCTCCCTCCCGGCATAAGGAGCACTTCTGCTGAAAAGAGCACGTATCCCAAACTTGGTAATGTTCATTTCCATCCACATCTTACTCTTTTGTAAGTTTTTGATCAAGGTGTCACTGGTATTCCATGCACAAATCTTAAGCCTACAGCTTAATGAATTCTACAGAAGAATATGCCTGTGCAACTACCACTTGGATCAAGATACGGGACATTCCTGGAACTCTAGAAGGTTCCTTCTCAACCCTCACAGTTAGTCACGCCCCATGGGGCCATCAGTCTGGCCTCTATCACATGGTTTTGGGCCTCCACATGAGTGATGTATAG